GAAGGGATAGGCTCTTTTAAACTGTATGGTAGGCAGCGATGAGGTATGGGTTAAAACCCTATTGCGATGGTGTCAAGTAGTCAAACTGAAAATAACTCCGTTTTGTTCTTCGATGCCATGCGTCAGCGAACAACAAAGAACATGGCCAACTGGGTTTGCTAAAGTACAATTTCTGTAGACAGCTGATCCAATGAAATGACACCTTGCTGTCTACCCATAGAAAGGCATAGACGTGTAACCATCCACGCGTAAATCTCAAGAGAAATCAGCCGTCGTTACAATTTGACACCTCCTATTTCGCTCATTAGCCTTGGTAGTGTAGAAGCAGAAATGTGCCGACTTTCGCATTGCACTCCAAGTTGGCGCACTAGGATTGTGATTTCTTCCTGAGGGTGCATGACCTAGCGTAAAAATAAAAGACTGCTTGTTTTGCTATCGTGTTGACATAGTAGATCATCAGCCCAGACATGAACAACTGGCGAATTTAAATACTCAGAGCATGCAAGTGAAGGTTGCAGTTCGCGAAATACAATCATTTGTAGGCCGCTGAGCTCAGCTGAGCCATCATCAACCTTATGAGTAGTAGATTTGGTCAGTGGTTTTGATGAGGTTTTGCTGGAAAACCATATAAAGTACATTCAGGTAATTGGGGAAGACGAAACAGTGAACCGTGTGTGTTTAACATGAAAGACCGGATTAAAGGTGTAACATAACAATTCATATGAAAAATTGGTTACGAATACCGACATTTTGACGAGCTTGTAGAACGGCAGAGACCAAACGTTCTTGCGGTTTTAGTTGTACTGGTAAAAAGCTTCGGTCAGTGACATTTTTCATCGCCGATGGATTTACCGCTGCAGAGAATGAGATCTTGGAAAAGAACTCAACTAGCGTTTGTGACAAAACACCTCCAATCTATGTAGGGAAGAAGCTACAAGCACCCATGGACTTCTTGAGAGAGATTTCCGTAAATAGGTGGATCACGTATACGAGCGCAGGAAAACCAAAGCAAGACTACTGTTCAGCTTATATAAAGGTTATACACAACCAAAAAGCATTTTGGCGTTTCTCACTGGCAATCCCCATACGGAAGAAAACTTTTCCAAGAGTTGGGAATTGTAGATCCTCTACATCCTGAAACAGCCTGTCAGCTCTTATTGCAACAGTGAGAAGACCTACCACCTTTTCATGTAAGAAGCCATTCAGGACAGACCGCAACTTATACAAGCACCAACTTAACACCTACTGTGGCCATCCACCTCAGAGATGATAATACTCTGACTGCCAGACTCGACTTCTCAGCGGTTCGTTGAAAAAGGAGATACGATCAAGCTTTACAGAATGGCTGGCACTAATTCACAGGATTCCGCTCAACGACTGACATTAAACTCGTGTTGCATGCAGATATGATAGACGTTCATTTTGCTTGCCTAAATTCCACGCAGGCGGAAAAGAAACAGAAAATTTGACAAAATCAAAATAATTGAAAAAGCTATCAAAGTTTTTCCAAGAACATTTTGCTATTAATATTTGGATACATATATACTATATCTAATGCATCTAACATTATACGTTCGTTCTTCGCCCGATATACTTCCTATGGTAATTCATCCGAAACAGTAGTATCGACTGCGAAAACTGGGTGGAGGATGCCGAAAACTCTAGGTTCGTTTTTTCACTTAGTTGTAATTATAATCGCGTTATGCCTCAAGTAAACCAATAAGGTTTCATCTTTTGTTTCTTCCAGCTCTACCAGGTAAAGCAACTTTGATAAAGTATTTTACGTGACATAAATATATATGTTATGTAGCGTACTTGTTGCAAACTTGAAAGGTCGATAAATCCCCATGACCACTGGTAAGCCCACACGATTCAAACAAGCTGATAAGAGATTGTAAGCTGATTCCGCATGGTTCACTAGGATATTAGGTCGACCTGCTTTTTTTACAAAAACTAAAATAAAATAAACGAAATCTTACAGAATTTTTCCTGTCATCCGATCGCCCTCATTGTAGTTGGGCGTCCCTTACCGTGTTATTGTGAAGTGGATGTTGTGCGACTAATTCGGTTGTTCATCATCAAAGAATCTAGAATTTATCGATAACAGTCGAATGCCTACATTAGCTCAACAAAAACCACGGATCAAAGAGAAATAGCTGTCGAATAGTGACACTTCACATGGAATCGTTTGGCTTCAATGTTTCGGTGTTGTTCAGAAGGATAGACATCGAAAAATCGCCTTTGGACGTGATGACAGTCTTGACGTTTTAAAACTGTAGGCCACAACCGTCACCAGGAGAATTGGAACAGGCTCTCAGTTTCGTCATAAACAAGCGCACAGAAACAGAAACTGAGAGACAGCCAGTAAGATAGCTACAATGATGACGAACATGACAGCTTTACACTACTTGAGGTGATTTCTGGTAAGCCAAAATAGTTGCGCGTCACTGTGTGAACCATGTGACACAAAGTGTGGTAACGCAAAGTCACATTATTTTTAACTTGACTCGTTTAAATTTCTTCACAAGCCTGTCCCGAGAGCTGTTAGATCAACCAACCATGTGTCATGGAGGTTGGTCAGTTGAAGCCGTCACAGAGGAGCGAACTTCACTTCAAAGAAATAATGCGGTCTTATTTAGAAAACGATTGAGAAAACAGTGCGATATTTTGGGAAACCCACGTATAGTAGAACAAATCGCCGTAAGTTTTGCTGTAGAAAAAAGAGGTGTCGTGGTTAGCCGTTAAAACGGGTACCGAGTGCTACGACGGTGACTAACACCAGTTTGTACGCTGTCTTTTCATTAAATTCGATAAAATAAACAGAATGATAATAAGATATTTGGTTCGGGATCACTTAATATCCCGGACACAGCTTTGGACAGTGCGTGATCCCTGTCAGAAGCCTGGAAGATTGCCAACAATGTGTTATTATGTAAGTTAAACAGGAGATTTATGGAAGTCCCCAAGTTCGTTCAGTACCCGAAGATATGGCATCTAAGGTTTCGTAGCCTTTCTCCTAGACAATGCACTAGAATGCTCAGCTTTCTTGGTGAATGGTAAGGGGAGATGGAATAAGAGGGTGTAAAACGGAGAAGCAGTTCCCGCAATCAAATGAATTAAGAAAGGTGAGGATGCCGTTATAACAAGTACCGGCTTAATGAGTGTGCATTGTGCTGCTAAAGTATAACCAACCCCTGCGAAACTGACCTTCTTGATTGGGATGTAACCTTGGCTACCATCCTTCAGAATTAGGATTTTCTTCCCAATGGTTGCATTCTACAAGATTTTAGCAGTTTAATGAATGGTGACTTTTACGTTGATATGTAAGACATCAATCCAGTACGATTATGGATACCAACAATAGTTTTACGGTCTTCGGTATCTCAGTTTTCATGGACTGTATGATTCTAAATCCGATGGTCACAAAATCTATGTACAGTACGGTGATCAACTCATCGTTACTAGTCTGGTTTACCACCGAGCAGGTTCGTAGCTGGCTTGCTTTATTCACCACCCTGGACGTTGCCATGTCTAGGACACTTTTAGGGAACTCATTACATGCTGTTATCATGTAGAGTCGTCAAACAATTCGTAATAAAGCTCCCTATGGCGAGGATCCTTCCATGAAACCCGAATAGCGGTTGTCGGACTCCAGAATACACCCAATGTGACATTGTTTATTGTGGTGGTGCTTTATTGCAATCAATGCATTACCGCAATAGTCATGAATGCGTAGAGTTGTGTGAAACGGCACCAACATTTGTGGAGCAGAAATGCACTGCGTGAAAGGTAGATAGTTCAACATGACCTGCCCAACGGCTGTTCTGGATAACTTTTATTTAGCCAGCTCAAGTACAAGCTCCGGACTGTGCACAGAACTTGGGTTATATTTCCGTTTACACTTGCATTTGTCATCTTCGATGGACAGAAATGCCAACTTATTTTCCCTTATGTACAACCGAAAGTAAAACTAAATATCTTCGTTTGATTTACTTTATCAAGCGAATAAGGTCATATACGTTGAAGTAAATGAAGATACAGAATCGTTTCCATTACATAACAGAAGTGTATTTAACTCTTTCTACAACTGAAAACTCAAACGAATACCCTGAGTTGGTGACACGACCACACCAAGTCAGATAATGCGTTGTTCTTTTATGGGAGAGAGGATTGTCGTGCCATAGAATATGTGGATGGCCCAGTGGCTGAAGGTTGTAACGAGTGCATGGGAAGAGAATAAGACCATTCTAATCAGTCGCATCCACAATGAACCGAAAGCATTGCTCAATTGGTACTAACGATGACCTGGAGCGAATTTTTCCCAAATAAATCCAGAACATATGGTCAGTTCCCTCCGAGAAACTACTCAGCATTAGCCAGCTTGCACAAATTCCGTTCATCTTTACTGTTTTCATCTCACTCACTCATTCATTGTTTCTAATTTGTGCACAATCACGGTTCAGACATGTGGTAGAATAATTCCACCGCAATTCGAAATGTTTGCAACCCCAACGCCTAATATTGATCACATGAAGCACACAAACGTGTTGTCTGAACGCGCATCAGCTGGGACGCAAACACACACACACACAAGCAACGAATAGCCGCACGGAGAAAATACATATGTATCCATGATGCCGGGTGGACTGATGGGGTGGTGGTTTACAGTTGACATTTTCACCCACGGGGGACTAGCTGGACATGGCAATCACCGCGGTGACATTGGACAATGCATTCAGGCACACGGGTCTTCTGTGTATATCAAAAGCGAACTAAAAAGAGATTAGGAACAGAGAGGAAAACCACTGAAAAAGACAAAAAAGGACAGACACTTTGGCAAGACGGTCTACGACACGTGGGCGAGCGTAGCACGAATCATCTACGTAGCCAAGTAGCGACTTCCTGGGTTCTGGCAAAGTGAGGTGAACTTTGGTAAATCGATTCAGTCCAAAAAAAGTCGTCTGTTTATCCACGCAAAGCTGTTTGCACCATTGACTCACCATATACAGTGACTGTGACAGAAGTCCAAGGCGGATATGATTTGCTTGAAAAATCGCCGAGCCTCCTTAGGAACGAGTCGGCCTTTCCTCACTAGGTAGTCAAATAACTCTCCACCGGAAACGTGTTCCAAGATCAAGTAGCTATTGGAATGGTTGGTAAGTGAGGCGGGGAAAGTAGCTTACAGATGGCGACGATTTTCATAGACATCATACAGTCCAAGTACATGGGGGTGTTCTATCAGTTTCATGATTGCTATTTCACGCTCAACCTGCGGAGAGTTAATAGAGTTTGACCAATTCAGAAGTCACGGCTCACCTTTTGTAGCACGCTCTCACTGAGTTTCTCTCGGTTTACGATTTTCACTGCGACTTTCTTTCCCGTCACACAGTGAACGCCCATTTTCACGAGACCTGTAGGCAGAAAGTAGTGCATACGTGGAATGTGATGGCATTAGGAGAAAAGAACAGAGAACTGGTAAGTGATGTCAGTACTTTGGCCAGTTTGTTGGCGAAATCCTACCCGGGTAAAGGGATCCTCTATTCAATACAAGTGAATTTTCAGGGGAAAATTTTCCGTAGACACGTAGAAAACACTGTGAAACACTGTTGGCATACGTTTGAGACAAACTGGCTCATATGAATAAAAACTTCAACAGCTCACTGCTGAAACAAAAAATGACCATCATGATCATCCTCTCCATTGACATCAACATCATTATTGATGATGGGTGGTTCGTCATTGTACTATTATGCAAATTTGCTTGAAAGGAAGAAGGGAGACAACAAAGAATTAGGTGCTACCGTACCACAAGCATTCCGATAGGCCTACACACGGTTGAAAAGCGGAACTGCCAGCAGCGAAGCCACTGAAATCAGTTGACAGTCCATAGGGAAGCATAGAAAAGGCTACCGTAACGCTGTCCAGGCAGGGCTGTAGGGAATACATTCCGTTTAGTTCAATGAACACAGCTGAATGCGCACTGGGTCGTGTCACAGCCTAATTACCGTTCATTTGCAAAACTTGCGTTTGAGTATCCCAAAGAGGGCGATCGACCTAAACAATAGACTGTGGTACATTTTTGGAGAGACGCATTACTTACAAGGTTGTTGGAAATTTATTGACGGCGCACGACCGGTTCTGACCTTCTTAGAGCTCATGGAAGACGCAAAGTCCTCGAGTTTCTGTCAAAATTATGTGCTGCTTGAATCCAAATAGTATGAGATTCGCCGAGTATAGTCGTTCGCACATTAATTTGTTTCGGACAGCAGGCTCGACCGACCCTCTCGTTTAGAGTATTCTTCAAGTGGAACAAACAGGTTCGGCAACATTATCTGTAGGGTGACCCGTGAATTTGCCAATTCGTTGCAAGTAAGCGCGAACATTTACCACCGGTATATTTCTGTTGCTCTAATGGTATCTGCCGGTCCACTGCAAAGCCCAACGGACAGTTCAAGAACCGATAAACTCATCCTAGCTTGAAATAGTTCGACACAAAAGGGGGACTTCTCTCTCAGAATCAGTCAATCTCATTCATTCTTTCGGGACTGGAGAGGAATGTCTCTAATCAGGATGTCCTACCACCATAAGACCTTAGATCATATCTGTTCAAGACCGGTGGAAAACAGTTCCATCTTTATAAGCAACCCTCAACAGTATCAAGATAGGCCGACAAATTATCGCATTGCATCAGAACACTGATGGAAAAGTTTTACTGACCCGGAGATTTTCATGTCGTACCCCACCCTGGGTAGTTTATCTAAAGGTGTTACTGTTGGATGACCGGATAAATTTATCCACATAGTATAAACATGACATCTGGTTGGTAGTTTGGGGTAACTTTTACGAAATGATTGTTTTATTGGATGTGACTCGGCATTTGGCCTAATGCATCAACACCAACTTAAATCAACATCTAGCATGCTTCGTCACAACAGTGTTTACTTCAAGCGGATTATGAACACAGCTAAAAGTGACTTATCCAACAGGTTATCATGCTTTCGGATTGGTTTGTGTCAGATTTAAACCTGTTTGGACTCTGAAGGATAGATAGTTCATAAGTGACTAGTGTGCTATCCGTAAAAGTGAATAATATACTCTGTGTTTCAGGAACTCGCTAAGTATGGAGTTTCGACTCGCCAAAAAGGTGAGTGCGTGATACAATATGCCCAAAAGTGTACGATTCATAAAAATGAAAACGAAGGGGCCTTATATTTATTTAGCTTCAAAGTTACGAAATCTTCGCAAATATTTTCGTCCAGTGTGCACACTCTTCAAAAGAACCCTTAATTTATCTTGATTATCATAGAATAAATTAGTAGTCCTATGAATATTTCATGCAATTTCGGAACTACTCGTTCACTATGCAGATAAATTTAGTCTAACCAACCAGTCTGGGATAAACTTTCAAAGAGGTGCTGTATGCTGGTCATCTCGCAGACTTTTCAAAAAAAGAAGCCTCAAAAACTCATTGTGTCTTGCTTGCATCTATCAGCTGAAACTGAGTGCAGAATAAATGATGAGAAAAACGAGATGAGAATTTCCAATTCAGGAACATCGGATGGGTATACCCTCTGTTTCTGTCGAACCCTTCTCTCGTAAAACCACACTATAAGGCCAACTACGTTTACACAAATAGGTAATTAGTCAACCAGTCAGGAAATAACCAAAATAAATCTGATATGACGAAATACGTGAAGCAAATGAGTCGATATAGGTGGGTTTCGCGTCCTACTACTGCTTTTGGTTATTTGGAGACCAACGAAATATAAAAACCGAGATAGGAAATATCATACGCCTAGTAGTGAATTGTTGTTGGGTAAGCAGTACAGTGCTGGGATGGCAGATACATGTGATATATGTGATATGTGAGCAGTGGCTGTTGGTCAGCCGCCACCTGGAACAATCAATAATCGCGCCAGAGCTATCATTGTCTTAGCCGATTGGCGTAGTTGACCAGATATGGCCTGAGAATGTACAGATTTGAGTGTAATCCTGCGGCAGCTTACAAGCATGCTTGTATCATATGTAATTTGCACCCTAAAGGTCCTGATTTACAGAGCACGATATTCTCCACTCTCCCCGGAAGGAAGCGCCTCCACTAATGAGACGTTTCTGGGGACAAAGGATATTGTGAGTTCAAAAACAAATCACAAAATTTCTGAGAGCAAAATCTGTTTCCGGAAAACGGCTTGTGTACTCCCAAAGAGGCGAAATTATAGTGAAACTGCCCTGTGTGAGGGGGGTTGCCGTAAAGAGAGCTTATATACATCCACCGCAGTCGCGCAACCTTCTTTGGGCACACATAGTTTGGTGCCATTGTCTCGCATATCAATTGACAGGTTTGTGTAATGTACATTTTCAAATACGCAAACTACTTATCTATGCTAAAAACTAAAATTGGGACCGATGGCCATAATAAGTCATCACTCGAGGAGTTAGTGACTAGTTAACGCGTTATTTGGTTGCCGTGACTGTATGATGAGTGGCTCTATATCCTGTCTAAAAATAAGCTATTCTCAGAACCGATCAAATGCCCGTAGCCAAACGATCATGAGTTCAGACTACCACCCTGGAAGTCGGTGGTTCGAAAAAATCCCTTGGTTTTCGTGAGATGCGCACCACTGATGATTCTCAATAATGATGAAACAACTGTGCAGTTTGGAGTTCCGGCATAGACTGACTTCACTTACAAGGCGGAATCTTACTTGAAACACCAGTTTGTCTTGAACCTCTGGATGAAGTTTGCAACCACTTGTGAAGTCCCAGAAAACACTTAAAGCGAACACAATATGTTCAGACGTTCCGGAATCCGGACCATGAACACCTGCACGTATCTACTTTAGTTGGCTTTGATTCTCAAATGTCTGAAATCCAATAGGTTCAACATGGCACATTTAGTTTCCGTCTGGAACGGAATGTGTGTAAGCGGTGCGGTTGTGGTATGAGACCAAATGCCATCAGGAAAACACGAGTGTAGTGGCTGTGACTTCATCTTGCGTTAGAAAAGTTTCACATAAGGTACAGCTCTAAGATTACTCGCGTAAATGTCGCCTTAACGATGTTGTTTCCGCGACAGCCGATTGGTTTCAGCTACTCCGCGATGATGATCCATATTACATGTAATGTAGAGATGGTTCGAACAAGTGGCAAAAATTTTCTTCCACATTATAGGCTAGCCTTCAGCTCTCCAATCCTGAATCGCGACTGTTATACCGTAAGCTAAAACAAGGGAAAAGTTTCAAAACTCGGACCCGACCGCGTTGTGCAGGTCAGTAATTGTCTATCTGCTGCTCTGGTACCAACTACTGACAGCAGAACGTTAATTAATATTTTCACATAGGATGCTGCTATTCTGGACTAGAGTGTGCATCCTAATAAGGTCGATTCTCTCCTAGACAACTGATTGCCAATCATAGCTGTTATTTCTTTTGGAGAAGCCTGTTTTGTCAAAGCTAGTTGATTGTAAATCATTGCCCACGACGCTAACAGACGAAACTTTTACGTAGCTGGAAATTCAGGACACCATATTTATGCGAATAATGAGGCGAAGTTTAAGTCAACAATCCCACGCACATCTATTTATATTCCCATATATTTTATCACCAAATCTAACTAACAGTTCAAAATCCAAACGCCAATGTTCGAAGCTTTGTTTATGTAGCCCTTGCGCCAGGTGTAACTTTGGGTTGTTACACAAGGTGAGGCACATGTTCAGCGTCATACTGTATCGGTTAAAAAACCGTACTTGCCTACCACAATGCTTGTTACACACAGTGGGCTGGGAAACGGTCGGGGTGAATTTTTCAAACAGGCCGTTTTTTAAATTATCAGACCGATTAGCGACAAAAAAATACCGCAGCCGTCCGTGACTGACAAGGCTGGCTGTCCACAATGTATAGTTTGAACAGAAAATATTTGGAGGTCCGTATTACACTTAATGCTCAAAAAGGGACTAAACAGCAGTTTGGCTTATTTTCCTGTGATGGACCAGGCAAGCTGTGATAGCCAATCAAACCAGCTTTATGCAAGGCGGTCGGATATAATAGCTGGAGCAGGGAATGAATAGCTAAAAAGGATGCGGCATACTAATTAACTGAAATGAGGTCAGAGATTTTTCGGTTGGATATGAGTAGTAATAGGTAAAAATTCAAGTTCCAGATATATGGTTGCTAGTGACATACTAACCAGTATCTAAATATCCTAATATGACCTTTGCCGATTTTAGGAGAAACGACAGACTTTCATGTTATTTATCGATGCTATCGTACCCGGAAAGCTATAAACGCGCACTGAAACCTCCGGTATAGACAACTTGCAACTGTGAAATTATTTTAACCTAATGTTGACCCAAGAATTAGAACAAACTATGAGGTTTTTGACAAGAACACTTGAGCATAAATATAGCGACAGC